TTCTCCATCTTGGCTTCTAATCTGGGCTTACTGGGCTGTATCTTCTTCCCAAAATGCTACATTATAATTCTGAGACCAGAACTGAACACCAGAGATCAATTAGTAAGAAAAAGACAACATTGACACTGGTTTATTTGGGTGCTTTAGTTTTTTGCCAATTTCATTTTATCAGATCCTTACAACAGTTATTAAAGAAAAGATCCAAAGGTTTAGATTGTGTTGGACTTAGGATTGTCCTTCATTGTTCAGTATTTGGTAAATTTAATATGTTTAGACTGCTGGCATGTTTGACACTGGTTTATTTGGGTGCTTTAGTTTTTTGCCAATTTCATTTTATCAGATCCTTACAACAGTTATTAAAGAAAAGATCCAAAGGTTTAGATTGTGTTGGACTTAGGATTGTCCTTCATTGTTCAGTATTTGGTAAATTTAATATGTTTAGACTGCTGGCATGTAGTCTATTTTAAGCCATGACCTAGTGGTCTACATTGTAAGCTGCCCAGAGACCTTTGGTTAGTGTGGGTGGCATAGAAGTTAAATAAATAAATAAATAAAATTGGAGAGGGCTGCTGTCTTTCCTTAGTGCCTTGGTAATGTAGGAGAGCCAGGAGAAGAGAATTTTCTTTACTAATCACTCTATGCTAGGGACGTGGTGGCGCTGCAGGTTAAACCGCAGAAGCCTCTGTGCTGGAAGGTCTGTAGATCTTCAGCTGCAAGATCTAATCCACGTGACGGAGTCAGCGCCCATCGCTTCTCCCAGCTTCCGCCAACCTAGCAGTTTGAAAGCATGGAAATGCAAGTAGATAAATAGGGACCGCTTCGGTGGGAAGGTAACAGCGTTCCGTGCCTAAGTCGCACTGGCCATGTGACCACGGAAGATTGTCTTCAGACAAATGCTGGCTCTATGGCTTGAAAACGGGGATCAGCACTGCCCCCTAGAGTCGAACATGACTGGACAAAAATTGTCAAGGGGGAACATTTACCTTTATCTTTGCCTATGCTATTTCAGCTACTATCTTTTCTTTCCTTGGACAAGAGGAGCTTCTAGGCAATCCTCCAACTTTATATTCCTTCCCACAAGCACACTGTCAAACATTTCACCAAAGGAATGCTAATTAGGAGTTTACACATCCTCAGGTTCCAAGAATGAGGTGTGAAGGCTAACTGCATTTGGCTAGTGACATACAGAAATTAATTTGTAACCTGACACAGTGTCCTGTGATGGGATCGCTCCATTCCCAGGCTCAGTCATTGTCAACATTCTAATATTTTGCAATCTCTAAACTCCTGAATGGTTGTGCTTTCTCTGATATATACACTTATTTATGGTATCCTGTGCATTTTGTGGGCCTCGTAGTATTTCATCATAGCTCTGAACACTCCATGGTTAGCAAATGAAGTGAGAATTTCAAATGAATTCAATAGGAATGAGCCATGAGTCTTTGACCCATCTTGTCTTGAAATAAGGTGACACCAAAAGATGCCGATCTGCCTCTGTAACTTTCTGATGACACTCTAAACCAGCCATTCTCAACCTTTTTGTGCCCTGGGCCCCTGGGATGGCTCAGATTGACAAAAAATATTCTACTGCCTTTGATCATTAACCATGCCAGGCGGAGTACGAACTTGTGATGCCATTAGACTGGATCCCTGTGAAGTTATGTGACAAAGCCTTGTGATCCCACAATTGGGAGGAGCATCAGGTTTTCATGCTGTCTCACATTAAACAAACTTTATACTCCATCGGTACCACTGAGTGTTGTTGTTTAGTTGTTAAGTCATGTCCGACTCTTCGTGACCCCATGGACCAGAGCATGCCAGGCCCTCCTGTCTTTTGCTGCATCCCGGAGTTTGGTCAAATTCATGTTGGTCGCTTCGATGACACTGTCCAACCATCTCATCCTCTGTCATCCCCTTCTCCTCTTGCCTTCTCAATTTCCCAACATCAGGGTCTTTTCCAGTGAGTCTTCTCTTCTCATGAGATGGCCAAATGATTGGCGCCTCAACTTCAGGATCTGTCCTTCCAGTGAGCACTCAGGGTTGATTTCCTTCAAAATGGATAGGTTTGTTCTCTTTATAGTCCAGGGGACTTGATGGTCCTGATATTGAGAATCGCCTTCAGCACTACTTTTAGCCTTTTGTTTCTGTCCATGGAGTTTTCTTGGCAAAGACACTGTAGTGACTTGCCAGTTCCTGTTCCAGGTAGATCATCTTTAGTCGGAACTCTCCACTATATCCTGTCTGTCTAGGGTGGCCCTGCACAGCATAGCCCATAGCTTCAAAGAATTACTCAAGCCCCTTCGCCATGACAAGGCAGCAATCCATGAAGGGGGGTACCATTGATACAGGGATACAACTTCTGCCTTCAGACTAGGCACAATCAGCAGTCTCCAGAATTCCAGTCTGGCACTTTGATGACTTGATGACCTGAATGGGATCCGTTTTCTAATGCTGAGGACACCAGTCCCCTCTCTTGATGGGTTCCTAAAAGATCAAGCCAAGGTTTTAAAGCATGGAAGGTATGGTATCATCATAGGCATCCTTCAGTCTCAAGAGACTACGGTAACGTGATCTGTATTGAGAAGTGTCCTCTCCAGAGCATGAAGCCTGGGTAAAGTAATATGGAGGATAGGCTGTTACCCAAGCAGCAAATCTCCCCTCTCCATGTTGCTGAAATGGTCTAATGGAAAGGCAAGAGCTAATACAACTGGTTCCAGCGACGTCGCAGGAGTTGCCAGAACGACACAAACTGCCTCAGGGACTCTGGCTCCAGATTTTGTCTCAAGGTTAGCTCCTGAAGCCTTTTCCATTGGTGGATATAACCACAAGGCAGTGGAGGTTTGAAATCGGAGTTTTCCTTCTCCTACAGTAGATGGGCTGCCTTCCAGGGCTGACGAGCCCCACCTACCCGGTCTGCTCTCTAATAGTGTAGAAGTATGATCCGACCCTTAAAACTTTCCAGCCTCTCAGGTGGCTTTCCTATTTACCATATTAGGGTCAGAGATAGTCAGAGAATTTGAGAAAAGGGCCCAGATCCTGGCACACCCTCATTTAAGGCAAAAAAGCCCCACCTCCTAGGCCATGCGGTCGGGGAGAACAAAAGAAGACATTTGGATGTATTACAGGAGCTCAGGGAACAGTAAATAGATTGGGCTCTACAATGTTAATTTATGACATCCATGCCCTTGCCTTTCTGTGTGTTTAGTCGTTTAGTCGTGTCCGACTCTTCGTGACCCCATGGACCAGAGCACGCCAGGCCCTCCTGTCTTCTACTGCCTCCCGGACTTGTGTCAGGTTCATGTTGGTTGCTTCGCAGACACTGTCCAGCCATCTCATCCTCGGTCGTCCCCTTCTCCTCTTGCCGTCACACCTTCCTAACATCA